TTTTAGAATGAGGCAGACAAAAGTTGGAAGGCCGGTTAATTTTCCCCTCCTTCTCCTGCTTCAGCTTCATCTCCTTGGGTATCCGATGTCCACAACTGGTAAAAGAAGGAAAGATTTTTCAGCATGTTTCAGTGGGGTGGAATGGGGGACAGTTTTCATACATGTGCCAAGATATCAGAACGTTTTAGTTGGAAAGCATTCTTAAAAAGACGGCAGCATCACTGAGCTTCAAGATACAAAAACATCTCAATACACAAATTTACTTTCTTTGTAACCACTGTATAAGCAGGGTAAGTACACCACAGAGTTGCCTTCAAGTAATGATCGGACACAGGAAACTTTTGGTTATCCTTAGAAAGTGAGGAGAAAGTAGAAGAAATCATAAAATATTTTTAAAAAACTAAGCATCAATAGGTATCAGAATCTAAAGAGCCCCAGTAGAAGAGATGGACGTCCAAGGTGAGTGCTGCTGTACCAGAAGCATCTAATTTGGCCCATGCTGAAGGAGCTAGGGTTGCTCTCCCCTGGTAGATCTTAAGACTGACTCTCACTCCAAACAGAATCCTATACTCCATGAAATTCAAGGACAAGCCTCAGATCTGATCTAACCTACCAATCTAGCTTTTCTCAGCTTAGAAAAACACCTTTGTATATTTATTAGGTTGGTACAAAAGTAGTTGCAGCTCTTCCCATTACTTTAAATGGAAAAACCTGCAATTACTATTGCACTAACTTAATATATAGACAAAAACCAGAACCAAACCTTTTAAGAGGTAAAAATGAGAGTTGTCCCATAGGTGGTAGGGTTATGGACTCTAAATATTCCAACTGCTCCAATGTTAAAAATTTTTAAGTCCTGGCCAGATGCGTGACTCACACCTGTAATCCCAGCACTTTGGGAGGCTGAGGCAGGTGGATCACCTGAGGTCAGGAGTTCGAGACCAGCCTAACCAACATGGAGAAACCCCATGTCTACTAAAAAACACAAAATTAGCTGGGCATGTTGGCACATGCCTTTAATCTCAGCTACTCGGGAAGCTGAAGCAGGAGCATCACTTGAGCCTGGGAGGTGGAGGTCATGGTGAGCCAAGATCGTGCCACTGCACTCCAGCCTGGGCAACAAGAGCAAACTTCTGTCTCAAAAAAAAAGTCTTAACCACTCTAGTGATTTTTCAGAGGCAATTATAAAAGAATTCAAGACAACCTTAAATTTAATATGACTCACACTAAAAACTAATTAATCCACCTAGTTCTTATTTTTCTATTCCCCAAATTATCCATTAGCTTCATTTATCTGCTAAGCAAATGTATCTCTGGCCTGGAGACTAGTTCCAAAGTCATACAGCTAACCAAATGACCTCTTGGAAACTGTGTGTTCCTGTTAAACAAGGGATTTTGTAAATGCAAGATCAAACTGTTTCTTTTTTTTTCCCATTTATTTATTTTATTGCATTTTAAGTTTTGGGGTACATGTGAAGAACATGCAAAATTGTTGCATAGGTACACACGTGGCAGTGTGATTTGCTGCCTTCCTCCCCATCACCTACATCTGGCATTTCTCCCCTTGCGATCTCTCCCCAGCTCCCCACCCCCCACTGTCCCTCCCCTATTTCCCCCCAACTGACCCCAGTGTGTAGTGCTCCCCTCCCTGTGTCCATGTGTTCTCACTGTTCAACACCCGCCTATGAGTGAGAACATGCGGTGAGATCAAACTGTTTCTAATGTCTCCTTCCTGTTCTAACTTTCTACGACTCTTGGATTTTCTGTATAAACATGCAAAAATTTGATACAAAATATTTCTCTATTTCTAGAGTAATGTGTTGAAGGTCTTGGTCAACCAAATTCAGACTGAAATATTAAGTTTTGGGATAATTTCTTTTCTTGACAGATAAATGATCCAATCAAACTATAATGGTGACAGCTGACACAAAGCTCGGAGAAGACACAGAAGCAGTGGCAGAGTTAGAATGGTAAACCTGGTTTTCTTATTGCAAGATATGCTCTTCATGCTATACTGACAGCAAAATTCAGTTGGAAGCACATAGTAGATCACGGCCTCTCACAAAGTGATGCAAACAAAACACAGTAACAAGGTCTCAGGTCATCACTTTAAAAATGTCATCACTTCAAACTAAAAAAGAAAAATCCTTAATACTAAAATTAGTAAAATTAAAGTGCTTCTTATGTTTGATATAAAGGTTCTTTCATTCTTTACTATAGCTTATTATCTTGACTCAAGTATCAGAAAAGTTTATAGATAGCCCCAAATTGTGCTAATAAATAATTTTAGGTTTAAACAAGCATACAGTATTATTCAAAAAACTCTTCAAGCTTTTCAGCACTAGAATATAGAACTCGTTTATAGAAAATGGCAGTGGACTAGAATAAAGTTGGAAGAGAAATGTATAAATTGAGGTTACACAGTCCCCAAGAGAAATGGTCTTAAAAGTCTAACAAGAAACAGTAATACTAGATTATGATCTGCAGTTCCTACCTCTTTAGCTGACACACAGCAAACGCTTGATAATTTTTTAATCTAAGCCTCAAAATTTCAAATCTAATATTTAACTGAAGGAGAAGAATGAGAAGACCTAAGGAACTAACAAGACATATAAACCAATTGCATTGTGGACTCAATTTGAATTATAATTCAAATTAAAAAAAAGAGAGACAATTGGAATTCAGGTATTCTTTACATATTTAAACATTATTAGGGAATTCTTGTTGATGTTTTTGGGTGTGATGGTGATACTATGTTTCTTTTTATATACATCTGCAGTATCCCAAGGACAATCATGACCCTTCATATTAAATCATTTTAAATCAGAAAGTAGGCAAAACAGACTTCCACTTGGATTCTGTAGATACCCAAAATTTTACAACTCAAGTTTATCTTTATAAGTATGGAGGCAACTTGATGGGCAAGAAAATAATTTTTAAAGGAATTAAAACAAGCTTTGATACTAAAATTCAAATTTTAACAAGACAGGTAAACTCATCAATGTGTGTATTTTTCAGTCCTTGGTCTAATATTTCAGAATCTGTAGTTTTCCTTCATATGGTTTTAACAGTAGCTAAGACATATTTATGTGAGCATACGAATTACGTTGAGAAAAAATTTTAAAAACATTTAATTTTAAAAATATATATATTCCTCAGAGTAAAACATAACCTCTTCAACCACATTCATCACTAATGATGCTGTTATGTACTTACTGTTAAGTTGTCTCTCAGTAATTGCATTATTAGCGTGCTGTCTTTGTATGACTCTTCGCTTAATGTATCAAGTTCAGCAATGGCTTCATCAAAAGCCTATGATTTAAAAATAGTACATTATATTTCAGTGCTCAAATAATGAAAACTGCTAAATTTCTACATAACAGGTAAAATACATACTGTCTTTGCAAGAGAGCAGGCTTTCTCTGGGGAGTTCAGAATCTCATAATAGAACACAGAGAAGTTAAGGGCCAGACCCAGTCTGATAGGATGTGTTGGTTGCATTTCCTTTTTGCTGATTTCAAAAGCTTCTTGGTATGCTTGTTGTGACTGATCCACAATCCCTGGATAAGACACACCAAAACGTATTCAGACAAAGTATGTATTATATCTTCACCCTTCAAACCAAATCTTTAATATCTCATGTATCCCCTGAAATACTAACCTGTAACAGCTTAATATTTGTCAATTTAACAAGGCCCTTAATTTTTCTTTTAAAAGGAGGTTCCTCCTGGTACACATTAGCCATTGGTCAATGTCAAGATACAATTTTATAATCTCATTGTTATATTTTTAAAAATTAACTAGTTTACGCTGCTCCTCAGTTACAGTTACAGTGTGACCTCTATTTCTTCTTTCTTGAGATAGGGTCTCTGTCACTCAGGCTGGAGTGCAGTGGCACAATCAGGGCTCACCACAGCCTTGACCTCCCAGACCCAAGCGATCCTCCCACCTCAGCCTCCAGATTAGCTGGGACCAAAGGCTTGCACCACCATACCCAGCTGATTTTCAAAACTTTTTTTGTAGAGAGGGATGTTGCTGAGGTTGGTCACTATTTCTTAAAATCTTGAGAAAACACCCCTGTACACAAAATTGGCTTTTCAGAAAGCAAATATTTTAGAATGCCAGTATTAGGTGGTAGACATATATTCTCAGAACACAAAAAAAGAGCACTGCTACTCTTTATTCAACACTCCAAGCAATTAAAAACAACAAGAAATTATTTACCCTCCAGAGACTCTTCCTCACTTTTATACAAGTTCAATCAACAGGTTTAAAAACAGCATACCTTTCTTGTCATCACCAGCGGCAACCTCAGCCAAATAACGGTAGTAATCTCCTTTCATTTTCAAATAGAAGACTTTGCTCTCTGCTTGTGAAGCATTGGGGATCAAGAACTTTTCCAAGAGAGACTTAGGAAGAAAAGAAACAGATACCGTAAGAATAAAATATTTATAAAACTGAAAGAACTTGCATTTCTTAAAGGACATACTATAGCCTAAGTTATAAAACTGTCAATAATACAACTGTGAATGCAATGGGCACATGAATTTGTGGTTTAAAGCACAATGCTTCAGGCAGCAATACTTTTAAGTTTGAAGTTAATGTTGAGTTTATTTTTTGAGGACAATACAATTGAGTATCAGTACCTGACAATGCTATCTATCTACATACTGACTTCCATGAATGTGAAGCATGACCATTCATATTTAGGAACATTTTCTAATGAGTTGGCAAACTTTCCATCTGAAGTTTCATGTGGTCATGACATGAAAACAGAAAGAACCTAAGTGATGACCTTTTTGGGACTCTGGAGAAATGACTAAAGCAGAAACCAATAATATAACAAACACTAAAGGAGTCTATACCAAAGAGGAACAAAATAAACTTCATTTACAAGAACACAATTCAAGCAAACCTCAACAGATTAAGAAACAACAACAACAAAAAAACTGTTCAAAAGTTTTATTTTTCCTAACTAAATTAAGACAGTGGTAGAAGTAAGACTTCCAGATCTTAAAGAGCAGACCTTTAATCTCATTGAAGTCATTTTCAGCTAGTAAGATACATGACTACAGATCATCCCAGACAACAGATAAAATTAAAACATCCTATAAAATTCTGTCTAAAACTCTTACTACAATCTGAGTCATTTCATCAGGATTTTAAAAATTATGCTGTTTAAATGATTTTAAAGCAAAAAAAAAAAAATTAGATCACTGTGTTGGGATGGGAAGAAGTCTCAATAAATGTGTAATTTTTTTTTCAGTCAAGGAAGAGAAAAATAATTCCAACAGAATTAGGTAAATGTTAAGCCAAAAAACTGCCAACGACCCATTCTCACTACCCCACCTTCTTTAAAGTTCAAGTACAATCTGGGACTCAAGGTGAAGTCAATTTTCAGCTGGGCTAAATTCCAAATAAATCCATTCTTACAAGAAAAAAGCTATCAGTTTATATTGCACCTACTTATATGCAAAATACAATTTGAAAAATACTTTTAAATAGTAACTTTACCCATTATGTTCCAATGGTGGGTAAGTGAAGAGTTTTAACCCAACTTCTTCCCCCTAATTTTTTTTTTTTTTAACAACTCAAGCTACAGACAATCCAGATGAAGTGGCAGTAGGGCCAAATTGCACTGCGCTGTAGGAGGTTAAAGGTGAGAAAAGTCAACCTGAAATGATGTTTCTTGTCACTATTAACTGGTATTCAAAAATACTGACCTAAGGCTGGGCAAAGTGACTCATGCCTATAATTCTAGCTACTTGGGAGGCTGAGGCAGGAGAATCACTTGAGCCCAAAAGGCAGAGGTTGCGGTGAGCCGAGGCTGCACCACTGACTGCACTCTAGCCTGGATGACACAGCAAAACTCTTGTCTCTAAATAAATAAATAAATAAAAAAAACTACTGGCCTGAAATCAGAAGAGTATTTTGGTTAGGATAGCAAACTCTGTATTATACACCACATCCATACTTTCACATTCAGAGTTCTCTTAGCTGCAAAAGTGTTTTGTCGTCCCTTGAGCACAATGCTTTTTACCCTCTATGGTTGCTCTGTGGAGATCTGCCTCAAACAGTGGAAGATAGTTGCACTTAAAATAGTTAACTGAGTTTTTCCACGTAAAAACAAGGGTCTTAAGAAACAAATAACCAGGGTTTTTTTTTAAAGTTTCACATTGTTATACAAAATGTATTATTCATTCAACTATGGGAGATGATACAAGCATAGTGGCTTTGGGATGAGTCTGGGTTTGAATTACAGCACTATACACTGTGTGACCTACTTAATCTCAATGATTCAGTTATCTCACCTGTAAGGCAGAGACCTCTAAGATTGTTGAGAAAAAATACAGGTAAGCACTTAGGAGTAAGCACAATATGTTGATACTTCATAATCTAGCTGTACAGACAAGACTATCATTCCTTCCATTACAGTACACTTTAAAACAAGTATTGCAGGGCACGATGGCTCACTCCTATAATCCCAACACTTTGGGAGGAAGAAGCAGGAAGATCACTTCTTGAGACCAGGAGTTTGAGACCAACCCAGTGAACATGAGATCCTGCCTCTCAAAAAAAAATTAAAAGTTAGCAAAGTGTGGTGGCATGCACCTACAGTCCCAGCTATTTGGGAGGCTGAGATGGGAGGATCATTTAAGTCCAGGAGTTTGAGGCTGCTGTCAGCCATAGCTAAATCGTACCACTGTACTCTAGGATGGGTGCCAGTGAGACTGTCTCAAAAAAAGAAGAGTAACACTGCCTGATAATCACATCCTTCATTTTCAATAACTTTAACCCACTCTACATACGTAGAAATGAAGGCCATAAACACATGTAGTTACTTAAGAATGAACCAATGACAAGATGTAAAATTTTAAAGTTATACTAAAAACTTAAGTTTTTTAGGAAAGGTGTTGATAAATGCTACTAAAATTAGTAATCTATCTTTTGTAGGTAGTAACTTTGGAATCTCTACATGTTTTATTTTACAATGGGAAAATATGCTGAACTAAGTAATTCCCTGGGAATTAAAATGGCAGTTAAGCACTTCTTTCCCCAAAGATAAACACTGAATTAACCATAAAACAACAACTTTAAAGCTATTTGTTAGAACTCGCAAGTAAGAGGAAGGCTGGGTAAACAGCAGTCAGGCTGCTTATTGGCCTAATGATAGACCAAAAAAACCAAATAAGTGGCAAATGTTTCTGGTGAGATGCTGACTATAAGAGGTGAGAAAGGAATAAATGGCGTACTTCTATTAAATCATCCGATAACATAAGCTAATTAAGATTTAAAAACCCAAAACCAGAAAGACTAGATTAAAGATGAAATTTAAAGGGGCTAACACTATAGTTCTCAAAAAAGCTAACTGTGAAAGAACAGAAATGTGGTAGACTTTCTTCAAAGACAGCCTCCACCAATTCCCTGCCATCCTTTGTTAATGTAATGTGTGTCATTCTTCCTCCTGTTAAGAGGTGGATTTAGTTCCTTTCTCCTTGAGTCCAGGCTGGTTTTGTTGACTTGCTTTGACCAGCAGAATGCAGAAGAGATGGCTATTCCAGTTCTGGGCCCAACCGTTTAAAAGCTCTAGAGGCTTCTCCTTTTGTTCTCTTGGAGCTATGAGCCAGTGTGCAAGAAGTTAAAACTACCCTGCTGAAGAGAAAGGCCAAGCCAGCCTCAACCCATTAGACATATAAGTGAAGCCATCTTGTGTATTTCAGCCCCGGACGAACTTCCAGCTGAATACTGAGAGAGTGACCCCAGCCAACACCATGTGAAAAATGCTCTATTCAGGGTCCAACCAGGCCACAGAACGACAAGAATAAATCATTGCTTTAAGTCATTAAATGTTGAATGGTTTGTTACACGGAAATTGATAACTGAAACAAGGATGCTACAATTTTAATAATCATAATAACATTATTTCACAAGTAAACACAGATGACATTTTTGACTGAGATTGTTTTCTACAGATTATATAATTTGACCTTTTCCTAACCCTATCTATGAGGTATAAATTACAATTATCCCCATTTTACAGAAGACAATGGGGGCCCAACAGTGTGATGAAATGTGTTGAAAATCACTGCCAAGTTTGTGAGCATGCAACTTCAACTAGGCAATCTAACTTGTACTCCTGCTTCTGGTGACATGCTGACCGTGGGAGTTGAGAAAGGCATAAATGGTGTACTTGTATTAAATCAACCAATGACTTAAGCTAATTAACATTTAGAAACCAAAAACCAAGACAGACTGGATTAAAGGTTAAATTTAAAAGGGCTAACACTATAGCTCAAAAAAGCTAACTATAAAAGAACATTTTCCCAGCCTCAATGGGGTGACAGGACTACTAAAAAGGATGTGATTCCACAATCAGGAATCAAAGTTATGGCGAGTACACTAGAAACTGTCAGCATAATGGAAAGAGGGGGACATGAATGGCTTCAAGAGATAAGACCAATTAAATTTAGCAAGAGATCAGATTTCTGTCCAATATGAGAAAACTTATGAGTGGTCCAATCTGCAATAGGTAACCTACTCAGTGAGTTCTCTCCTTTCATAAAGGCATAACAAGAAACTAAAGAGATAACTCAGTTATTTTTTAGAGAGGATCCATAAATCAGATGTCATGTTTCTTTAAAAAAAAAATTTTAGCCGGGCGCGGTGGCTCAAGCCTGTAATCCCAGCACTTTGGGAGGCCGAGGCGGGTGGATCACGAGGTCAAGAGATCGAGACCATCCTGGTCAACATGGTGAAACCCCGT